AATTTCAGTTGGATAACGAAGTCACAAAATTAAAAAAAGAAAAAAAAAGGTCGTCGACACGGCTGCCCTAAAGTTCTCTCTCGCGGTTCCCTGACACGAGATAAATGTCGCAACGCTGGTAACGTCGTTAGAAAAATAAAGAGACGGTCGCCGATGCACGACCACCTGCGCGTCCTATGATTCGCCAATCAAATTCGTGACATGCTGCCCGGAATCGAGCTGTCAGGGTCGAAATTTCGATGGAAGCGACAAAATTGCCGGGCAGTCGGATCGTTTCCAGCACCAGGGACAGCCCGGCGCGACCGTGCAATTATTCGGCGGTCGGCCATGACCGCGCCGCGTTACCTCGTCTTTCTCATCTCGTGGAACGCTTTTAAACGAATTCGAACCGGTTTTGCACGGTGTGTATCCGACGTTACACGCCGCGAGAGGCTCGTGTGTTGCCTGGCAAATCGCTCGTACGTCTCTACTTTCCCATTGTGGGGCGCAATTTACTTTCGCCACGGCGTAACGACCGTTGATTGTATTTGCAACGCGGGCTGTGCAACGACGACGACGACGACGACGACGACGCACACTGCACCGCACCGCACCGCACCGCATCGCACCGCACGCGTGAACTGCACAGCTATTTAATATTATTTAACGAGTCTCCTGGTGAAACCTGGAGGCTCCATTCTTCCGGCCCCGGCCACAATTGCCGCCCGCTTGACGCGTAATTAATTACTCGTGTTCGTTAATAACCCAAACGTACTAATTATAAGTGGAAACTCTTAGGCAGGCGCTCGCTTCTCGCTCGTTAAGCGACACACGCGTAACATCGCGCCGCTTTAATCCTTCGGATACGCGCGGTTCCTTCGGTGAACCGTAATGAGCGCCGCGAAATTATCTTTCTCATTTCTCGATGGTTTATTTATTTTTTTCCTTTCTTCCTTTTTCATTTCTTCAGCCCTCTTAATCACGTTCGTCATCGAACACGATGTTTATCGATTGATCCTTTGACGCGAACTTCTAGTTGTAAACTCGCTAACGCGACGTATAAACGAGGATGATACACGATCGAAGACGACGAATAGGATGATCGGTGGTCGTCAAAATAGTCGTTAACGTTATCGTTGGACTTTTCAGGTGCCGAGCAACTTCAGGTTCGTCGTCGAGCAAACGCTGAAAGAGTTCTTCAAGGCGATTCAGAGCGGCAAGGACACCGAACAGAGCTGGAAAAAGTCCATCTACAAAGTGATCTCGAGGCTGGACGACCCGGTGCCAGAGTACTTCAAGACCCCGAACTTCCTGCAGCAGCTCGGTTAAATCAGGAGGTCGCGTGGCTCTTGCTCTTCGTGGTGCGCGGGCTCATCAGCGCTCGTCGGCTCCCGGTAATAACCAAGAAACCAGAAAATTATGTAAAAGCGAAACGAAGACGAACGGTCAGCGAATGAAGGATCGCATCCGCCAGGAGGTACACGTCCTTCGCGTAAAGCGCGTTCAGGTATCCTTAAACTAACATATCGCAGAACGAGCGTGAGAGAGAACGTGAGAGGGAGAGAAAGAGAGAGAGAGAAAAAAGAAAGAACTGAGAGAGTTAGGGAGATTAGTCGAAAGAGAGAAGACAGGGAAAGAGAGAGAGAGAGAGA